AGAATATAATAGTTTTATTTACACGTTCTTGGCAATTGAAAAGAATCACTGTCATTGATTCTTATATGCTATGAAAAATCTTTTAAATTATTGCTACTGTGCAAAATATAAAATTTTTAATTAATCCGTCAATTAATAAGAGTTTAAAGCCAAGATTATGAAGCATTGGAAATATGAATTCATATACGGATGTTGAAGATACCTTGGACAGCAATAAAAGCTAATGTAGAAGTACTAAGGAAGGTCAACAAAGATAGAATAGCTAAAGATTATTAAACACATCTATAGTCAGGGTAAATCGATATAGTTAAAATACTGCAACCTTTACTTTATTCTTTGATAAAGATGAAGATATCTATGCTATTAATGAAATATTGCATCTAAATAGAGGCTTTCAGAAAACCTAAACTGCTACCCAATGCAAGCGCTGGCAGGAATACGGGCAGATACAAAATTACTGCAGAAGGGAGCCAAGATGTTTCAAATGCATTGGAAAACATATAACCCAAGACTGTAAAAACCCAAAAATATAGCTAAAATATGTATTCACTACGCCAATAACCAGAAGCTCTGCAAACACTGAGAAATAAAAATACAAATAACAAGGCTCCTGAGAGAGCAGACTAAGTATAGAAAATATGGACAATAGACACCGCAATTTGGAGAATCTAATGCGGAAGTAACACAATCAGAGGCAGAAAATAATACAGTAACGGAAATGCTGCAAAAAATATTGGAAAAAGTGAGTAAACAAGAAGATATTAACAAAAAAGTACTAGAAAGGCTGGACAGACTTTAATACCCCCGGACCTTGGGATACTCCAATGCAACACAAATGGACTCTTTCAACATCAACAAGAGTTATTAGTAACCCTACAAACATAGAAAATATTGAAAACTTTGTTTTCAAACTTCCACAAAATTTATTTTAACTATTATCACTACAGCTGTTTCGGCTGATAGCCTTTCTCAAGTGATCTATTTTTGGCATGCGTTTACAATTATTTATAGTCTCTAATGAAATAGGTTGAGGAGGGGAAAACTGTTTGTCTCAAGTTGGTCATTCAGAATTATATCTGTGTTTTTTAATTTATTGATTTCCATAGATTCTAACAAAGATAGCTTAAGGCCTTTATTTTGAACGTGAAGAATTTTAAATTTGTCATTAAAAGAATGATTATGATCTAGAAGGTGCGTATGTCGAACCTGTTTTTCTATTCTTGAAAGCCCTTTTATGTTCTGCTATTCTACAGATTCTGATATACAGATTCGACATTCTGCTATACAGATTCGACATACGCACTTCACCTTCTAGATCATAATCATTCTTTTAATGACAAATTTAAAATTCTTCACGTTCAAAATAAAGGCCTTAAGCTATATTTGTTAGAATCTATGAAAATCAATAAATTAAAAAACACAGATATAATTCTGAATGACCAACTTGAGACAAACAGTTCTCCCCTCCTCAACCTATTTCATTAGAGACTATAAATTGTAAACGCATGCCAAAAATAGATCACTTGAGAAAGGCTATCAGCCGAAACAGCTGTAGTGATAATAGTTAAAATAAATTTTGTGGAAGTTTGAAAACAAAGTTTTCAGTGTTTTATTGTAACATAAAATGAATTTCCATCAAGTAACGGTCGAATCCATCAATTACATAGAAAATAGATACATGCCTTATTGCAGAAACACATCTAACTAAACAATCATTTATTTATATAAATTTATATATATATATATATATATATATATATATATATATATATATATATATATATATTTATTTATTTATTTATTTATTTAGCACACCATAGGTGGAGCTGCTGCTGTTAAAAATAGTATTTTCCACTGGGAATGTGAAAAAATTGAAACTGGAGAAATACAATATGCTTCTATGAGTGTTAAAATTAAGAAATACACATTTAACATTGCAGCTGCATATTTCCCTCCTAAACATAAGCTCGAAAGAGAATACCATGCTAACTTCTTATTAAGCTTAAAAATACATAGTTGGCGCAGATCTTAATGCAAAAAATACCTGATGGATGTTGATACAATATAAATAGAGGATGTAGAGTAGCTTATATCTGACCACTCCCTAATTATACTAACTATTAGCAAGCAAATTGTTACCACTGAAGTGAAACCCGCGTTGACCAATAAGTATACGTACTGGGTAAACTTCCAATCAGAAATGAATGAGAAAATTGAGTTCAATGGAGTTATTAAAACGATAGAACAATTTGAACGAGAAACTGAGCTATTTATGATAAACATCCAAAAGGCTGCATGGAACAACACACACACACCATAATCCAAAGAGTTGAAGAGTTGATTCAGGAAAAAAGTAAGGCACAGAAGGTATAGCAGAGACTCTAACTGAAAATAAAAATAAGCTAATAAGGCTTACGCAACAGCTGCAAAGAGAAGTCGCTCAAATTAAAAACGAATTCATCAGTAAGTACCTGAGAGAACTAACTGATGATAAATGCACCGATTACTCTCTCTGGAAGGCGGCCAGAAAGATAAATAAGCCAGTTTAACATATTTACGAAAAGAAAACAACATGGACAAGAAATCCCAAATAGAAAGTGGACGCATTTGCTGATTATTTAGAAAATATATTTCAACCAAACCCTGGGGTATCTCATGTAGACAAAAGAGGTTCAAAAATTAATCAAAAACATCATGGGTTTGACCTGATTAATGGTGAGATACAAAAAAAATTACCTAGAAAAGCCATAGTAAACTTTACTACTCTAATGAACGCATCTTTTAGACTTAGATATGTTCCCATCCTTTGGAAAACTGCAGAGATCATAATGATAGCCAAAGTAGGACAAGATAACCTTGAATTAACATCATACAGGCCAATCTCTGTACTATCCATAATCTCAAAGGTGTTGAAAAATTGCTACTATAGAGAATGAACCATATAATTGAAGAAAAGATTTTTATTCCAACCCACCAATTTGGATTTCATTTTGGATTCATCATCATCACAGTCATTAACATCTTAGTAGATGTGTTGTGGTTCATAATTGGGCTTCAGCAGCTCGGACAGTTTGATTGATAATATTTCTCCACTGGTCGCGGTCATCAGTTATATTAATTGCCTCAGTATACTGTTTATTGAGAAGCTTTTTAGTAATGTCCGCCCATCGCTGTGGAGATCTTCCGCGTTGGCGTTGAGTCTGAGGCCTTCCTTGGACCACCAACCGCTCCATTTTGTGATCACTTCAAAAGATATGGCCAAAGAACTTTAAAATTCTAGAGTAAACGGTACTGGAGAGACGCTGATCCGGTTTAATTTCATCCAGAACCGAGATATTTGTACGGCGAGCCGTCCATGGAATTCGAAGCAGGCGTCTCCATGTCCACATTTCAAAGGCGTCTATACGTCGTCGATCTGATTCTTTGACTGTCCATGTCTCGCATGCATAGTAAAATATGGAAAAGACCAGAGTTGAAACGAGTCTCTTTTTGTTTGTCATAGTAATGTGACGATCACGCCAGAACCCGTTTAGTTCACTCATTGCTGCTCTTGCTAGTTGAATGCGTCTTCTAATTTCGGATTCACAACTGCCTGTGTTGTTAACTAGAGCTCCAAGATATATCATAGATGAGACTACCTCGCATCCCGCAATAGTTTGGGTTTCAGGAAACTGTTGTTGGCGATCAATAATCATGATAATCATGAATCATTTTGGATTACTCCAAATGAAATTAAGAAAGTTGCGAGGAGACATGAAGAGAGGCTCCATAAGTATCTCAACCATGAAGTACTTCAGCTTCTTGTCAACTAACCCCAGATGCGTAGGCTCCTCATAAAAAACTATTATTAAGGTTAGTTAAAAGTTTTATAGAAACAGGACAAGATGAACTATTATTAGCGAGCTATATTTATATAGAAACAGAAAGGAATGAAGAAGTGTACCTAGAGCAAGCTAGAGTTTTACAGAGACAGAGTAAAATGGAGAGCTATTATTAAAACGAGCTAAAATTTAAAAGAGACAGATAATGAATGAGAAAATGAACTATTATTAGAGCAAGCCTATCTCACATGCCGCTGAAGTTATTGAGATACAGAGAACAAAATCAAGAATCAGTTGATCTATCTCTTACTTAGCTAGACTTTCAGAAATGCATAAAACGAAACCAAGAACCGTTGATGATGTATAAAGAAAAACAATTATTAGAAAGAGTTTTATAAGAAAGAGTTTTATAGAAACATAATGAAACTAATTATTATTAGGCGAGCTAGAATTTTATAGAGACAGAGACCGAACTAAAGGCGGAAATACACCATTCAATTCGGTTGAACAATGTGTATGATTCAATTACATTGTTCAATCAAATTGAAAAGAATACATATACACGCTTCATTTATTCTTCGTTCAATTCGGTTGAACAATGTGGATGATACGAAACTTATTATATCACAAGTCAAAATGAAATAAACGGTTGAATCGAACACAATCAACAACACTTGTATAGACGCGTCAATGTTAATGAATCATCCCAGTTGTACAATGAAGTTGAACAAAAGTAGAAATTGGCTAAACTCAATAATTAAGGTTCAATTTGGTTGAACGCTTTTATTGAATTGCAAAATACATGGTTCATTTTGGTTGAATCATCCACATTGTTCAACCGAATTGAATGGTGTATTTCCGCCTTTAGGAACTACAATTATTAGAGCGAATCTATAGGACAAAGTATAGGAGGACTGGTATAGTGTTATGAGAAATTCAGCTCTTGAATTAAAATGGAACAGACTTAGCCCTGTACTGAATCGAAACCACACAAACAATTTGCCCGGATACGATAAGGTAAAGTAAGTTATAAATAAATTGCAGATAAAAACAAATAAAACTTTTTACGTTCATTATTCAGATTATTAAAAATATACAAAACAAAATTTAACATTTCCAACCTTAAAATATAATTCACGTAGCAACACGATTAATAACAGTGCAGAAATAAAAACTTACCATTGTATTCAAATTTCTCAGAGCTTCCCAGGAAAATCTGCAACAATAAACAATGCAAATATTAAAATTGCTATTTACTGCAGCAATAATTGCATTATTGTAGACAATTTATACAACGGATTTGCATATAATTTTTAGAGACATGATATTTTGGTCTAAAGGATAAAGATGAAAATTAAATTGGCCTTTAAAGTTAATAAATGTTTAATAAACGTTATTGGTTTTTCTAGTTGGATAAAATTATTCTATTCAACTAGAAATCCTTTTCCGAAAAATTTTTCTTTATCTTCGTCTAGCTCTACAGTGCGCGTATAAGTTTCTGTATAAATTTTGGGTAACTGAGCTACTGTACATTCAATAAGGTTTCTTCATTTTACTAATAATTTAGAAAATACACGGAGTCTTGATAAAATCTCGCCCCTGATTGAACAAATAAAAGATCGTGTATGCAGATATCTTTAGAAGAACACTTATCTTGTGACGAATAAGTTGTATCGTTCAAAGGACGTTCCAGTAAAATCCCAAAAAGCCTCATAAATGGGGATACAAGATGTGGTACAAAACATAATTTTGAAATTTTGACTGAAAAAGCTGGTTACACAGAATTACCGAATGAAGTAAATTTGGGAGCTGCTAGTAATGTTGTAGTTCGATTGAGCAGTGAAATACTGTACAATAAATACCACAAACCCTTTTACGATAATGATTTTTCAAGTCTACCACTGGTGTCATATTTGTCAAAACGAGGCATACATTCTACCGCAACAATCCGTACAAATCGAATTCTGAATTATAAAGGTTGGCAATAAAAAGAAATAAAAAAATTACAAAGGGGAAGCATTCAGGAACACTCTGGTACTTATGAGAATACTGTAATACATACAGTCCAGTGGTGTGACAACAAAATTGTGTCTTTACTGTTAACAGCCAAAGTGGAAAGATTCTTTCGCATCGAAAGAACTAGAAAAGAAATTGATTGCCCAGACATTGTACAATATAACAGGCACATGGGCGGTGAGGATCAGCAAGATTTCTTTTATTTGGATTATATCCAATCAAAATCAAAAGTAAAAAGTGTATTTTCTATCATATGCTGGATGTAGCAGTAGTCAATGATTGGCTATTAGACAGGCGAATCAAAAAACAAATTGGAAAAACTGAAGAGATTATACCACTGCTGAATTTCAAAACAATTCTAGCTGAACAACTAACTAACAGTGGTGTTTTACAAAAAAGAAAAGTAGTTTGGCCTAGAAGTTCCACACCCGAACAACCATTCAAAAGAAGATTCATTGAACCTAGACCCAATATATATATGTACAAACATATCAGTTTTCACACTGGCCAAACTGGACTGTAAACAGAGAAATAAGTAAGATGATAAACTGTAAGGGAAGATTAAGGCTCCAGTGCGAGAAATGCAAGGTGTATTTATACTTTCATTCTAAAAGTAGTAACTGTTTTAAGAAGTTTCACAATTTGGAATAGTTCGGTACTGACAATATATCGATCTAATGTATATGACAATTCTTCTTCTTCAGATGCAAATCCACTAATGGATGTTAGCGATCACATTTTCCATTAATTCTCTATTTCTTGCAATATGTATCAGAGATTGTATGTCTTTAATCCCTGTCCATTGCCTTATGTTTCGGAGCCAGGACATTTTCTTGCGTCCCATTCCTCTCTTGCCTTCAATTTTACCTCGATTATAAGTTGGAGAACTGGTATTTTTCATTTCGCATGATGCGACCTAGATACGCCGTTTTCCTTTTCTTGATGGTTTCGAAAAGTTGGCGTTCTTGGTTTATTCTTTTAAGGACATCTATATTTGTGATTTTCGCTGTCCATGGTATTTTTAGGATACGGCGATAAAGCCACATTTCGAATGCTTCTAATCTGTTTATATCCCTCGTTTTGAGTGTCCAGCCCTCTACGCCATATAGCAGCACTGACCATACGTAGCACTTAGTAAACCTTAGTCTCAGTTGAAGATCGAACTCTGAACAAGTCAGTACCTTCTTGAATTTTACGAAAGCTTATCGAGCTTGCTCAATGCGACATTTTACTTCCCTGTCCGATGCCCAGTCTTCAAAAAGCCACGATCCCAGGTATTTAAATTTACTCACTCTTTCAATGGATTTAGTATTCAGTGTTATGATGGAGTTTTCAAGTGCATCCAAGTTTCTGGAGATGATCATGAATTTGGTCTTTTTGGTATTAATCTCTAATCCCATTCGCTTACTGTATTCTCCGATTATAGTGACAAGTTGTTGAAGATCGACTATGTTGTCACAAATTAAGACACCATCATCAGCATATCGTATGTTGTTGATCAATACTCCATTCACCTTGATTCCCATCTCTGGATACTCCAAAGACTCTTGAAATATAGCTTCCGAATAAATGTTAAATAAAAGAGGGGAAAGCACACATCCCTGTCGAACGCCTCTTCTTATATGTATGGGTTTGGATATAGAATTGTCTATTTTTAACTGTGCCGTTTGATGTCAGTACAATTTTTCAATGCATCTTATGTCTTTTTGGTCTATATCAACTTTCTTGAGAATCTGCATTAACTTGTGGTGTTGGACACGATCAAACGCTTTTTGGTAATCTAAAAAGCATAGGAACACATCCTTCCACTGATCGTAACAATTTTGGACCAGCACCTAAACCTTGCCTAAACCCGAACTGGGAATCACTGATGTCCCATTCACATTTTTTGTATAGTCTTTGATGTAGTATTTTTAAGAATATCTTTAAAGTGTGCCTTATCAGGCTAATGAGTCTGTGATCCTCACATCTTTTTGCGTTGACTTTCTTGGGCAGGGGAATAAAGGTAGAGCGTAACCACTGTTGAGGATAGCAGCCAGTTTCATAAATTAAATTAAATATTTTGTGTAGTGCTGAAATTCCCCTTTCATCTAGTAATTTGAGTATTTCTGACGGGATCTCATCTAGTCCAGGTGCCTTATTGTTTTTTGAATTTAATATTGCTTTTTCTATCTCCTCTTTGGTGATTGAAGGGCCAGTCAGCTGGTCGTCTGTATAAACTTCACTCATGGGTCTTTCGTCATGGAAGAGCTCCTGGATATAATTTTCCCATATATCAATTTTCTCCTTTTCACCCAGCGCTATCTGGTTATCCTGATTAACTGTGGTAGTTGGTCTTCGTTTTCTGTATATTCCAGCAGTCTCCTTAAGCTTTTTATGTAAATTACGGTCGTCGTGCTGTCGTTGTAAATGTTCTAGATCGATAAATTGTTGCTTAAGCCATTCATTTTTTGCTATTCTTATTTTTGCTTTTATTTGCCTGTTAATGTTTTCATAAATATTGCTGCCATCTTGGTCATTCTTGTGTCTTCGTCGTTCTTCCATTAGTAATAGTATTTCTTCTGTCATCCATTTTTGCCTCTTGTTATTTCGTTTGTACCCCAAGTTGTTTTTCATGATGTCTGTTATATCACTTCGTATTCCGTGTTGGTGTTAGATCTTCGGTAATGTTTGTCGTCAATATTTGAATTTGTGCGTTTATTTCATATGACAATTGGTTCTAATAAAAGTTTTTATACATATTGTTCCCAAATGGGCACAATTTTTTTTCCAAACACCGGACCATTTAAAAAAATGTGTAACGGTGAATTCTACATACATCTATTATGAGTAATTTAATATAATTTTATTTTATTTTGTCAAAAAATAAAATAAATTCATGCAATAGAGGGATAAGAAAGTTTAACCATCTTTCCTTCACTTAATCTCTGAACCTACAGAAAAGCGTTACCGTACTATCATTTTATAACAACAAACACAACAAACAAAGTTTGTTTTATAACAAACTGTAGAATAATTTGACTTATGGGCGGCACGTTCTTGTCTGGATTTACTTCTCGAGAATAGATGAGTTTTATGTCATTTCTGTCATGAACTATAGTTTCTAAAAACCAATAAGCCTCAAAAGTAAAGTATTATTTCAAAACACTGACAGATAAAGACTATATTCCCCGAATAATAACAGAAATTTGGTAAAGAGATTTTTTACGTAGATGGATTAAAGAGAATGAGAAAGAATACCATAAAGAGGACTATACAGCAGAAGAAACTACAAGTAAATCTACTAAAATTTTGCTAAAACAAAAAGCATTTTGATTGAGTACTTTTAAAAAATTCATTGTTTCGTCCATTCAAAATTCATTTAATATTTCATTGTCTGATACCTTAATGACAGTATCCAAAACATGGTTTTATTTCCCAACCTAAGTTGATTAGATTTCGTAGAAAATATTAAATTACTTTTAGACGATTAGCTTAATTTTGATTATTAACAAATCTTTCCGTGGTTGTCGCATTGGCGCACACATATTTTTTTAAATTATTGAAGGGGAAATGTCACAAGGCAAAATAATGTTATACAAAACACGAACAAAACAACTGACGGTAAATTATGAACTACAAAAACAAAAATCATGGAACAAATTAAGAAAAAATAAACGATGGTGATCTATGAAAGAATCAAAATGTGAAAATGGTACAAAAGACAATAACGTGATAAAATGAGATAACTAAACACTTTCGATTTATTGGATTTAAATATTGATTTCTCGCTGGTCAATATAATTATTATTGTGAAAATTTCACTTGACCTAAAGGGTACGTGTGGTAACATTTTCTGATTCACAAGACTTGATGTAGTGATGAAAACACCAATTGAAGTTTTTCATTATTCTGTTGGGATCTCCGGACCTACAGATTTTAAAAAACTATGTCTTCGCGTATTTTTTGTGTTCTTCATCTAATCTGTTTAAGATAGAAGGTAACGTTTTAGCGATCTTCGGCAATATTTAGTTAATATAGGGCTGCACTTTCAGTGTTGCTGAGCTGTATTATAAATAATGCCCGACTGATATAGAACCCAGTTTATCAGCTTTTTGTTCTTGAGAAACCTTTAGTAACTAGTCTGCCAAAACTCTTCAGCAAAATAATACAAAATGTAGTGGTTACGGTTGATCTGTATCCCGAAAAGACAAACTTCAC